GGTGAAAGTACGTGTATACCTTTGGTCGCAATTACCGACACTCACACATCATACATTATGGTAACTCTAAATAGATCGTCGAGAGAAGATAACAGAAGGCCTAGCGACGAACAGACAACTTCCGGTCAAAATTGACAGAGTTCCATGAAATTCGAACTTTCGGAAGTTCTGAGCACCTCCATTTCATGAATTTCGGCCAGAACGATCTTTTCCCAAATTTAATTATTTTCTACTGTTCGAAATTCATGGCACATTACCGTAATCAAATGATAAGGTTTTTACTCTAAAATAGCATACCCCGATAAAATTAAAAGCTTGTTGTATACTCAACTCACACAACTTAAAATTTCTAAGTTTCCTGTACACTTGTTGCACACTCCTGACAAAAAATTTGAGGTTTCTGCACACTTATGGCAAACTCCTGATGAAATTGTAAGTTTATTGCATGCTTTCTGCACACATCTGTTGAAAAACCAAGTGTCTTGCACATTTTCTGCACACTCATGACAGAAAAATTACATTTTCTGCACACTTGTTGCACACTCTTGATCAAATTTTAAGATTACCGCACACTCTCTGCATGCTTTCATTGAAATACCAAGTCTCTTGCATACTTTCTGCACACTATCTGTACTTATGGAAGTGTGCAGTAGGTGTGCAACAAAAAAGGATTTTTATCGCACACTTCTGCACACTTCCCAAAGCTGTCTACTGCACACTCTAGAGTGTGCCGCACATGTGCAGTACATTTGCAGCATATGTGCTGCACACTTTTCATTTTGCTAAGGGTTATATCTTCAAAAATACACTTCATGGGTTTTCTTTTCATTATATGCAAAAATAAAGTAAAGAAATATTCATGTAGTTTTTTTAAGCTAGAATTTATTGCAGCATATACTACCTGTAATTTTCTGAAATGCTGGTATATCTCGGTCTCTGTCACATATGGTCTGAACCTTTTCATCCATTTGTGTGATTCCTTGGGAGAGTTCCTCAAGTTGATGATGTGAGTTATTGTCCATCTTCCTGAGCTGAGCTTGGATATTCTGTGAGTCTTGTTTCTGTGCATCCTTGACCTCTTCCATGCATTGTCTGAGTTGGTCGGTCTTCTCTGACTGACCTACGTTCACCTGTGTGATTCCTTGAGAAATGTCCTCAAGTTGATTATGTGTATTCTGTGTGTCACTGTCCATCTTCCTTATAATAGTGTCTTCACTTCTTTTATGAACCTGTTCCACATAGTCCTGCAACTTTGTTTCACTTTCTTTCAATTCATGTATGATTTGTTCAGGAATTTCCTTCATTGTAGCTTGCATGTTTAACAACTCATCTTTCAGAATGTTCTGGTTTCTCTCCAGTAAAGCAGCATCAAGAGGTTTAGACAAGATGGCATCATATTCCTCATCAGTAAACTTACTAGAAAGAGCCAGGAGGTTGTACTTGAGATCTGAGAAATGTGCCGTAAAATCTTGATCACTAATTGCTGCCTTGTTAGCATGGCCATACACAATATTTCGATATCTTTTAACTCTTCCAATGGTGGCTTCTCTTGATGTGTCTGAGTCAGAGGGGTTGTCCCATGCATTCAACCCTGGACGTGGATTCAATGTTGTGATGTTTCTCAGCAAAAGCACAGTCAATGTGATGTCTAAATCACCAACAGTCACTGATGAGGAGGGGTTTCCACCAGGATACAGCTGGTTTTGTTGATGTACATTAAGTACTCTTGACCGTGCTAGTCTATCCAGTTTTTTCCTGACAGTTCCATCACCAAGCACCCCACATAACAACCCAGTGCTCGGGTCAAATAAACTGGGATACTCTGTTCTAAGCTCTTTCTGAAGAACATCTTGCAAAACTTTCAAGGCATTATCTACAATTAAAACAGTCATACGAAAAAAATTCTCCTGGTCAGGACTGGACCTTCTTGTTGCCATGGTTACTGTCACTTCTACCAGTACATATCTTCCTGCCTTAACTGAAATGTAAAAGTGATTATGTAATAACCAATGAATGCACGACATTTAAAGTGTCAAAATTCAATATACCAATTATATATATACAATTTACCTGAAATAGGTCAATGTTTTTTTCTGAACTACTTGTAAACATTTAGTACTGCTTTCATTCAAACTGCATTAATTGATACAAGGAGATGACGATAATAATAATAATAATAATAATAATAATAATAATGATAATAAACTTTGTATAAAGAGGGTAAACAATATTAAGTGTATACCCTTATATTACACATGGCCCTAGGACACAGGTCAAAGTTGTATATATCCTTGTAAAAGATGGTTAGACACAAATTGTCTTATTCACATGTACATACTATTGTGATACAGGCACAGTGTGTAGTCATTTACATTTTAACTTCACAAGCTAGAGTACTGCCCCTTACAATGAATACCTACTGGATCCTCAGGAAATTGGCCCATGTATGATGTAATGTGCTACAGAAGACACTACTGCTCAGATCATTAATGATCTCTCCATCTCCAGTAATCTGGACAATACCTGACTATTACCATACGTACATACAAATAACTACCGCTACCTTTAAAAATCGCAGACAGTTTATCAACAACATATAGCCCTGCTCTTATCGGTATAGTAATTAAGGCCAAAGCTTCAAAGGATAATGTTTATTTAGAAAATGGTTTCGGTGACCTTTTTTGTTATCTTTTTACATATGAAATAAAGCAAATAGCTTCTCATATTTCACAATGCTTGCAGTACACACATGTATCTTAATTGTCATTTCCGTAGTCAGAGGCGATGGGCGAGCACTTTAGTTTTTAAACATGTAATCACCTACCTCATTCTTCCCGTAGAAGTCCATTAGGTAAATAAAGAATACAATAGGTAAAATACTCAACATTAATTTTAAAAACAACGCTTCAAACTTGTGCCATTTCTGTAAAACGTTGATAATCACGAAAATCGAAGCGCGACCAAGCACAGCAAACAGTAACAGCAAAACTATGCTTCCGGGGTTTTTATGATATAAATTTCGCAAATAATATTTTTAATTAGTACATCAAAACGCAATTAAATTTGGCAAGTTGGCATAAATAAAATCAACTAAAATATCTATAGATGCCACTGAATTATGGGCACATTTTGTACAAAATATAATTTAAAATATCATGTAAAACTAAAACTCACACACGCCNAAAAAAGTTTAAGATCCTCTGTTATGTCATAGTCTAGATTTGTACTGTTACTAGTGCTGTTACCTTCTCTTGGGGGGTCATTAGGATATAACATATTTATTCTCAGATTATCAAGTTCATATTGGATATTGGTGCCTTCATGGTTGTCCTATGTTCCATGTACCGATCCCGGTGTGGAGCGTGGGGTTTCCTGGGTTCGTTTCGCCGGTTGTTCAGAGTCGGGCACAAATAGCACGTTGTTGATATACAGTTTATCATAAACCATTACCGCTTTCTTTTGTTGTCTCTTTGCTGACTTATAAAAGGGATAGAGCATCTTTCTTTTCTCGTTAATTTCATGGGGGTATTGTTCATTTATCCCATATTTATTGTTTTCTATACCTTTGAGTGACACCGCTCTTCTCTTAATGTTGTCTCTTACTTTAGAGTTGGCAAATTTAGCTATAATTGGTCGTGGTTTACCTGGTGTCTTTTTCCCCATTCTGTGTACTCTATGGAAAGCTGGCATGTGTTCCACCTTCATTTTATTTTCCAGAAAATCGACCAGTATGGTTTCTGTGTCTTCCTCGTCTGTTTCCTCAATCCCCGTGAAAATAAGGTTATCGCGCATGCTTCGGGCCTGTAGGTCTACTTGTTTTTCCTTCAGTGTTACAATTTCGTTTTTCAAGTGTGTAAGGTTATCTTGTACTGCGTCGATAACTTTCGTAGTTTTTGCCTCGTCCCTTTCAAGCATTTTCATATTTTTCTGCATCTCTTTCAGTTCAATTCGGTTGGTTTCTGATATTATGTTCAAAGCACTGAGTCCATCTTCAATTTCCCCGACCTTATCTTTCATACCTTTCATCTCGTTTTTCATGGTCTCCATCGTGGTTTGTACTGTACACAGCTGAGCTGGGCCAATTAAATCAATTACCTGTATGAAGTGTATTTGGAAGTTAGTGGCTTAATTTTCGATTTGGTGTAGTGATAAGAGTAATTTTATTTTGCAAGTAAATTCTACCTCAGGTGTAATTGACATGTAACCTCATGAAATGAATTTGCACTTTCCTCTGTAAAAATGTTAAAATTCTGCTCCTTTCAACTGTAATGTTGTAAGTTACAATATGAATAAAAATCACTATTGTTATCTTTCTATTAATTTACATTTAGGAAATTGATCAGGCATTTCCCACCAAGCCACACTGATTGGGTGCAAGTAAATTAAAATAAATAAATAAATAAATAAATAAAATTAAAAAATAAAAATAAAAAAACGGAAGCTTTTGATGACAGGTACAAAAGACAGCTACATGTGTAGATGACACACAAGGTAGAAGCAGCAAAAAATATTCCTGGATCTTTGTGGCCAGCCGAGGAGACAGGAACTGAACATCAGGAGAGTGAAATCCAGTGTGTGACAGGAGTTATTTAATTGAAGCGACACTCAGAACTCAGCATTTCATGTTCACTTTTATTCATACAAAATGTGCACTTTTCCTATATGCTTAAACAAATGGTTGCAGAAATAAAGATCAATTCATGAACTGAATTATTGTTATTTTACATAAGACATCATAAATACATAAGTGTGAAAAATGCCTTGCTTCTGTGAATGACGGAACTAATAATAAAATGCTAACAATGTTGCTTATATGAATGGTTGCATTCATGGTGAATATTAAACTCTCTGAAACAACAGTCTTGTTACTAGTACATGTACTTTCTAATGAACCAATATGAAGTACAAGAATGCTGAAATAATTTCTGACAGCTTCACGATGTAGAGATAAGTCATAACTGACAGCAATATTTCATGTCATAAGACAATCCTGCATACATTCTTCCTTGAGTCCACAAGGGTTTATCCTGTTGATCAGCTGAAATTTCTCCTTATATCTATCCTTTATGAAAAAAGTTGCTTCTATGTAAGGTTAAACTTATGATTACACGTTAAACTCTCTCAAACTATAACTGTTATTACCCAATGAACAAGAAAAATGAAGTACAAGATAACTGAACTACAGTATCTTCTGACAACACGATGTTGGATAAGTAGCATTTGGTAGGATTTCACGTTTTTAGACTGTCTTGAGTTCATATTGGTCGATCCCGCTAATCAGCTGAATCTTCAGCTTGTATATATCCTTTTCTCTTCGGTGTACCTGATCGCGATATGAAGTTTATTTTATTTTATTTGGTTCACCTATATTACCGCTACTATTCCCCGTCGTTCATTCCCTCCAGCATGGCCGCGGGACTAGTGTTACGGAGCAAATATGACGTCACTGTAATGGGTTAATAAATATGTGTGTTCAGTCTCTTTTTAAATTAAAGAGAAAAATAAGAGAAATTAAAATTTATCAGAGTTTTATTTGTTTTGTTGATGTCAAATAAGAAATTAAAAAAGTAATGGTAAATATTTATTCATTATCCTCTTTCCCTCTCCTCAAGCTCTGAGTAAGCGTAATGGAAACCAGATGTGAAGAGTGACAATTGCCCTCGAGTGCCCAGACTCCTAGTCCCACGCCTATGGGGACCCCCCCCCCTTTAAATAACCTGTACCCACACCTGTGCCCCCTCCCCCCATTCACAGAATCATTGATCCGCCTTTAGACACATATACTATATAGGAAAAAACTAATAAAACGGCATATTTAACAGGACCCTAGACTTTATTAATTCAAAATATATTACCATCATAAACAACAAAAAGGCAAACATTTTCAGAACAAAATAAAACAATGTTGAACAGATATTAAATATTCTCCCGAATCTAACTGATACCACAGCCATTACAAAAAGCGAACGTAAGACTTGACAGGCATTTAAGCCCCCCCCCCCCCTTGCTTCTTCACACATATCTCTTTCTCTTTCTCTCTCTCTCTCTTACACACTTTCTCTCTCTGATCTTTCAAAAGGTTTTCTGCTTTAATTTCTTAATTTATTTTTTTTTCCTTTCTCTACAAGAAAACATATTTTTTAAAGAAAATTTAACAGATACGCTGTATGGGACATTTAACAGACACACTGTATGTCTAGGAGACATTTCTTTTCACAAATCATAGTAAAATATATAAAAAAGAAAATAACAGTAATATTAACGTAAAAGATTTACTGTCCTGATTTGCCGTTTCCGCCATTTTCTGACCTGGATTGCCGGTTTCTCCTAAAGCGAGTCTGCGTCCTCTCCTTGGAATGTTATCAGTTGGACGACGTGACAAGCACAAACATTCCCGTTCATTATCAGAAGGCCTCTGCCGAGATGTCAATGCAATCGACAGCCACTTGACCTCCCATTAAATTAGACTGTTCACTGCTTTTATTTGGGGGTTTAACTAGGTCTCAGTTTAATTTCTAGGGACTATTATTTCGTTCCCGTTCTCTTGGATGATCTTTTGCCTTTAATTTTATTATTATTATTATTATTATTATTATTATTATTATTATTATTTAGATGTAAATTTTTAGCATTGCGTTTTTCTAAATAAAACGTTCTAATTGATTAAGTTTTACTTAGTACATAAAAATTTCAATACTGAAAAAAAGGAGAAGGTTGGATTAAAGGTCTTAACGGACCTTCAACTGTACCGTGTAAATGTTATATAGTTTAGTAAGAGCCCAGAGTTCCGGATTTCCAGGAGGTTTATAATAAAAGGGGTTATTTAAACTTATACTTTGCGATGAAAATGATGACGATGGTTTGAAATAAAACACCTGTGCTAATTCTGGTCGTTTGCACTGTAGGCCTATATGTTGTTTGTGTTGTTTTCTGCTTAATATGTTATGCATTGTCAGTTATTGTCTGGTAGAAATACATCTACCTGTATGATGAAAATTAATTTAATGCGGGTATCAGATGAACCAGTACTTCTGACGGGGGCAATAACACTGATCAACGAGCACAGAGTTTACCAAGGAAGTTTAACTTTTACCGCTTCGCAGAGCTATATTTGATGTAATTGTGATGTTCATTTGTCGGGTAAGAAGTCAAATGACATTAAAATAAAGCTGTCACCTGTGCGTATAGATCTCTGTAGCCTGGCCAATATACTCTAGGTTCTAGATTTCAGTTTTGCCAGCTCGATCTTGATTTTATATATAACCCGTATCAGCAAAACTGAAAATCTATTCCATGAAAAGTTATGAATAGTTAGCAAGCTAGCTTTCCAGAGTCCTGACACTCTGGGCAGGCCAATATTAGGCCTACATATGGAGAGTCTGGTAATCAGTGAAGATGATACACAAGGTGTTCAAGGTTTCTATTCGATTGGGTAAAACTGAAATAAAAATGAAAACCATAAGTAAATTAAATAAATTGATTATGTTGAAGAAAATGGTTTGACAAAGCAAGGCTGAAGACTATATGAATGTCAAAAGGTGAAGATAAAATAACACACCTACTGTTGACAATTTACAGTATTCTTTATTTCCCCTAGCGTGATTAATAAAACGAGTGCGCACCACAATAAGCCGGAATCTTATCCTGAATGAGGTAAATCATTTATGCAGAATAACAAGATCACAAAATGTAAAATTGGCCAAATGCCACTTTATTAATGTAAGGCTTGACTATAAAGATTAAAATTGTGTATCTGTAGGAGAGCGATATACCATCGACGTCCAATTCATTTGCCTTTTGCTGAGTTAGCATTTATTGTCTTTGGTGCAGATCACAGTGCAGTCGCAGCCAATACTGGAAATAGATATGGCTAATTTAGTAAGTCAATGATGAATGACTAAGTCAGAGAACTTGCTCAATTAGTAATACTAGACCAAGTAAGTGATAAACTGGTTATTGGGTAATAAACGGCTAAGTTTGTAATAAATGGGACCATTCAGAATGAGAAAAACCGAGGGCTAGCTAGGCCACGACCTAAATATGACAGACCTACATGAAAGGAGGACCGCTTAATCCTGTAATGGTCTCTCCGCCTCTCACACGCCTCCCCACGCGTCGTCCTTGCAGGGACACAGTAATTAGATGTCGGCTCAATTCAACCAGTCGAGGGACGGCGCGTGGGGAGCCGTGTGAGAGGCGGAGAGACCATTATAGGATTAAGCGGTCTTCCTTCCATGTAGGTCCGCCACATTTAGGTCGTGGCTTAGCTAGCACTCGGTTTTTCTCATTCTGAATGGTCCCAATGGCTACTCTTACATGCAGTCGTATCCCCTTGTACAAGGGAAGATCGTCTCGTCACATGGATTTATGATGTTAACGCACTGAGGTCTTCGTATTTCCTCTGTAGACAATTGTAATTTGTAAACATACCTGTAGAAGGTATAGAGGAGTGATCATTACAAGAGATAACTGTGCTAAATATCCACGCCTGAGTACAAAACAGAAGTGACTTGAAACCAACAATAATTTGATTTTAAATCATTTTTGCTTACATTTTCGCTTCTAATAAGCCAGGCACTTGTCGAATAGCTATTTGCGTATGAAAAAAATTCATTTTCATTTACAGATGGTTAACGTTAGGCAACAAAATCAAGAGCATAAAAAACTTACTTAAACTCCCACCTTTGCACTCCAAACAGGCAACGTCACCAGCTTTATCTGTCGCCAGGGACATAAGACAAGTCACAAGAACCAAAACGGCAAGAGAGTGCATCCTGCTCGGCGTCTGTCTAATCACGGTCTCCACGTCACTATGAGTGGTGTCTACTAGTAACTGTGTCGTTATTTATTCCAAAGCTGCGGGAGCCCACCTTGAGAGTAAAGTACCGTATTCACAACAGAGGACTAACTGATCCGCAGATCAAATATGGCGACCAACTACAAAGCTTGCCGCTTAATTTAGAATTAGAGACAGTAGATTTCTTGCAAGGTTTACCCAACAAGCATTCAAGAGGGTCGGCCATATTTGGCCCGCGGATTTGTTAGTCACCTCTTGTGAATGAGACCAAACGCTTGTTCACTAAATAAATAGCCTACAGTGAGAAAGACAGTGGGAGAAAAAAAAAAGAAAAAAGTCGGGTAGATACATCTGACAGCGTTGTGGCAATCATGAAAATCAAGGATCGAGAAACCCCTTGGAGATGGATCGATGCTGTTAGATCGATCTAGGTATGGAGCCCAGCCTTATTATTTTTGGCCGGCATCCACGTCCGTTTTGAATTCATTATAATTGATAACCAGGCTGTGGCTGACAGTGGCTTAGAATTTTTGCAGAAAACCTGTAGCTTATCTACTATGAGTATTAATTTCTTAGACGCACTTCAAAAAAAAAAAAAAAAAAAAAACTTTCTGGTGGTTTGAAATATTCATCATTTTAATTTTAAAAAAACTAAAACTAGTTGCAGATGAAATCAATATAAATGAAACATACTGTAACTCCCGGAAAACTTCGAGCAGTTTTTGTTTCTTTGATTGTTTGTTGTATTTATTATTTATTAATGTACTTTATGCACACACACACAACGGGTCTTTATGTTCGATTTATAAGTTTACATTTTGTAACGAAATAACATTGTGTTTGTTGATATTTTCAGAGAAGCATTGTGTTTGGGAAATTAGTTTATAACTCTGCGTATAGATGTCACTATAAGCACAGCGCTGTATACGAGGGACGTATTGACGCCACCCATTACTGTGTAATTTTCCCTTAGGTGGGATGTAATGGATAAGATGGGGAATAGATGAAATAAGTCACCCTCATCCATTATAAAACTTCCCTAGTAGAAACAAGAAATAAAGATAAATTTAAGATAGATGAGAAACGGAGGCACAAACCGTCCCTCTTTGAAACTATATGTATTAAAAGACTTAAACTGGATCGCCATTCATGAAAGAATATATTTGGAAAAGTTACAATGATAAACAAGTCTTGAAATGTTCTGACGCCTTGGCACACGAGTAATTTATTTAACAAAAAATTGATTTATTTCTTCAATTTTTAATCCCTATGGCTCATCAGAATGATATACAATGTGAAACAAAATTGTTTTAAAAAACTTAACAAAAACAATAATAATAATAAGTCAAAATGACACTTATTTAGTTTAACTGTACACTTAAAGAATTTTCCTAAATTATTTTATTGCGAGACATTGTTCAATGATAACAATTTGATAAGTGTGGACGTCACGTGGTCCGATGGCAGGCACAGATTTCAAAATAATTTGCTGTAACTGTCGTTTTTGTGGTCAAATAGAATATATTTTATTTCTATAAGTTGTTGACAAGTATTTATTGTATAATATATATGTATCCCATACGAAGGTTTGTCATCCATTTACGTAAAATTTGTCTTCAGTGTCTTTATAATTACATAGCTACATGTTTTTAATTGTATATTAGTGTCTGAGTACTTCCCTATTTCTGCGGCCAATTTTTGCGATGTCAGTATGAATTTATTAATGTATTCCTTATATTTCTGTGGTGTTGGATTGTTTAAATAGAATAAATTGCGCTCTAAAACTATCAACTAAACGTTGGTACAATAGTTCTTTACTAAGGGGGGGATTTCACTTTTTTGTCTAAATTCATCTTTTAGTCACAAGGGCAGTGTGAAATCATCTCATATTTTCATGAAGCAAAAATGGCAAGCCCATTCTATAAATAGTTCACTCCGTATACTTTATCCAGTCTAAAGTCTCTCAAGAAGATCAGCATAAACACGCTTTAATAATACAATTTTATAAGAATAGCAATAGATGTTAAATAGAAACATGTAACAAGTAACGTGACAGAGAGACCCCATGACAGAGAGTCCGCTTCCCACTCAATTGTACAGATGAGCCTCGCCCTAGATTTTGACCTACTTAGGTCAGACTAACCCTAACCATAATAACTATATGGAGGGCGGACTTTCTGTTCAACAGACCCTCGGTTTTGTTACACCAGCGTTCGATATGATGCTATGCTGGTGGCACTTTAACTATACCACGTGACTTTCACCTGTACAGGTGATGTCCCTGTAGGTGGCATGTTCATCAGTATACCTGGATAACGGAATTTTAATTAAAACCTTACCTAGTCCTTGCACCTGGGTGTCAAGGTGCATTGTTAGCTCCTAATTGACATCCCAGGCTAATTACGTCTTAAGTGGACATGTTTTAATTAAGTGATTTAATGCTTTGATAGTGTGTATTTAATCCATTAAATGTACATGTTTTAATTAAATCTAAATTAAATCTCTTAATGTCTTTTTTATTTCCTGAATCTCTGTTCAAATATAAATAAATGTAAAATAATTTGTTACAATGTGCTTCCTGACATTATTCCAAGGTTATCGAAAAGCCAAATCCCGCTAAGTCGCGTCCTCTTACATCATGTTTCAGCGCATCTCTTTTTTTCCCCCAGCAGACTATCGTGGTTTCTTTAAATAAGTTTCTGGGTTCATGAGATGTGTGTATTACAGTGACTGACAACGAACCAATACCTGACAGCAATATCTTTGTTTACGGTTACTACCTCTGGTCGACGTGAAACACATGACTCCAAACACATACATGTTATTGTACAAGAGCATAGAAATGGCGATGTGCTACTCTGTCGACTGTACCTTCAATGTTCAGCGTGCAGCGAGGCTGTGCACGGAGTTGATCAAAGAGCCACGAGTTACGACACCTACCTTGTGTAGCCTAACTGCGGACATCACAGAGTCCTCAGTCACGACACCTACCTTCTGTAGCCTCACTGGGGACACCACAGAGTCCTCAGTCACGACACCTACCTTCTGTAGCCTCACTGGGGACATCACAGAGTCCTCAGTCACGACACCTACCTTCTATAGCCTCACTGGGGACACCCTCAGCGTCTCTCACGCATGCACGAACACATTAGCAGAGGTGGTAGTAATTCAAGCACGCACCCTGTGTTCTCTGTTCCCTCACATACACTCTGGAAGAGGGTCTGGGAGAGCACGCGGCATGGAGGAACCGTCCTGTCTTAGCACCGTGGAGCGGTAGGAGCCTGCAGCCATGAGGTGGGACGCCGGCCTCGGGGTCCTACTACTGATGCTAGCGGGAGTCTTATTACTGCGCTGTGCCGAGGCCACGTATTATGACAGAAGAAGGACGAGTTACGGAAATTGGTACGTACTCATTTCGTACATTTTTACTTGACTTTGATTGTGTTTGAGTACGCATTATAGAAGTGATCATCTACCCAAACTCTTGCCAAGCTTTATATTCCAAATTTCGTTGTTTAACCCCCGTTCAGTTGCGCGATATTGACGTTGTTGTTGACGATTGCGGTGGCCGGGATGTCATCACACAGCAGTCTGACAGATATAGTAGTAGTTGCAGTCTTAAATCGGTCTTTAGAAATTCAGAATTCCATGTCCTGTATAGTTAGTTGCGTTCCACAGAAGATCTAATAGGTAGTAAAGATTTTATTTCGGTGGTTTAAGAAAGCAAACGAGGTGGAATATGACAGTGTTGACACTGTGGTCACCTGTCAGGGGAGACAGCAGGCAGGTCATGTCTGTCAGCTATATTCAGGTTGTAAAACACCATTTTTAGAACAACATCAGTGTCTTATTAACGCAGTTGGGTAAGCGGTCTAAGCTAAGCCAAAACGATAAAATAATAATAATAATAATAATAATAATAATAATAATTTATTGTCTAAATTCCATATAAAATGTTCCGTGGACTTAACGGTATCACGGGTAAAACGAACGGAATAAGATGAATAAAGTCAACAAATAAATAGACAGTTAAAATATCGAGGCGCAATTATTTTAGCTTTTTTGGCTTTTCAAATCCAGTCATGGATTTAAAAAAATTAAAGCCAATGATATATATCTTCGTCTTGAAGAGACAGTACTTGATATTTTACACGGGCTATGACCAAACAATACCTTCTATAACTAGGTACTAAAACTGCATTAACAATAGAATTAATTACTGGGACTATAATTTGTATATTTTGACACCGCAAGCCTTAAAGGATGTACGCGGAAGTAGCTTCACATTAAAAAATTGAGTTTTCGCTTCTTCACACACCGCGCGCGTGTGTGTGTGTGGGGGGGGGGGGGGCACGCGTTTTAAAATTCTTCACCATGGATGCTACAAAAGCACATCTCGAGCTGTTAACAAAGGCAACTGCACAGACTTTACTCCAGTGAGTACAACGCCAGGTGAAATCCGTCAGCGTTCATATGCTGGGCGGAACAATGCTGGCGTTGATGTACTGGTAAGGCCAAGTTATCAGGTGGTGAGATAGGAATCAGTAGACTGGGTGCTGTGAATGGACGCCCTTTGTTGCCTGCGAACAATGCAGGCTCCTAGTACAGCCTCAGTACAGTGTGTGTGTGTGTGTGGGGGGGGGGGGGGGGGGGG